CCGCGTGGCCCTTTGGGGGGCGGGGCACTGTCGGGTTTACATTGGAAAACTGGGACCCGGCCACTGTCCCAGACGAGCCGGCACCCGAACCCACCGTGCCTGAGCTCATGATGCTGGGGACTCACCCTTCTCCACAGCTTTGCGGAATTCGATTCTCGAAACCTAGGGACGCGCCTATCCTTCCAACAAAGGGTCCCAAGCAGCCTGTACCATTGCGTACTTGGCACCTGACCTCCACTTCCTCTCATCAGAGATGACGTTGAGTCTTCAGATCACTCTGTGCGAGGTGGGTGCAGTTGTCCCCATTTCACAGGTGAGAAAACTGAGATCCAGACACTCCTTAGTCACCCTTGGTTGATCCCATGTGTACACTGACCTGCCCTCTCTTATTCCTACTTTACAGATGGGGAAACCGAGGTACGGAGAGGAGATGTCATCTACCCAACACACCCTGGCAGTGATTGGCTGAATTATGACTTGAATCCAAATCTCCTGACCACAGAAGGTGTCTCCACTCTTAATCACTATTCAGAAGACCCTGGACAGCACTTTGATCTGGGTTTTGCCATCTGTAACAGAGTAAGGATTGTCTTACAGTGTGATTTTTTCCACCTGGGGACATAGTGGGCTTCTAGGGGTAAGGCTGTGTGTCCAGAAAAGGTGTATGCAAGTTTGTGAGTGTGTGCATGTATAATGTATGTTTGTGGACGTGGGCAGTCGGCGTGTGCACACGGGATGCATGTTTGTGTGCGAATCTGGGGAGTCTGGTGTGTGTGATCTGAGTGGGGATGGGCGGGGCTAGAGCTCTCACCATCAGAGGAGATCCAGAACCCCCAACCTCCCAGGATACTCTCTACTACCGACCCCACCCACTGTCTGCATTGGCCTGTGCCAGGCAGTCTTGGACTGGTGAACCTCTTGCTTTTCTCAGCTGTGCAATGGGGGCCTGTTCTTGCTGCCACTATCCAGGTCCAAACTCTGTGCCAGAAAGGCTCTATCAGCCCACTCTGGTTTCTGGGGACTGCCTCAGTGGTGGGAGCACCGGGTTCTGGACCTGAGTCCCAGTGGCAGAGTTATCACCCTTCTGTTCACATCGAGGGCACTGATTCCCCGTCCTGGGAGGGGCCCAGTGGTAAGAGCTGGGTTCACAGGGAGTGGAGTAGTGGTACGTCTCTGTAATCCCACGGAGGCCGAGGCAGGAGGATTGCAAATTCAAGGCCAACCAGGCAATTTAGCAAGACCCTGGAAGGGAGGAGGGAACGAATGAACAAATGAATGAACCAAGGAGGAAAGACCAGGAGTGGGAGTGTAGCGCAAGGGTAGAACGTTTGTCTGGTGCATGGGAGGCCCTGCTCTGCCATTCTGCCTGGGTTAGCATGGGCAAGTCTTGCCCGTCTCTGAACCTCAGTTTCTCTTTTTAAGGAGGATAGTTACAGGTTTCTTACAGGGGTATGGGCAGGATGGAGATGTCACCTGCCTCACACGGTCGCCCCAGGGTTCCGCACTTCCAACAGCATCACCCCCGTGCCAGCTTTGCCCTGTTAGGCACCTGCTGTGTGCTGTCTCACTGATCCCAGGAGCTGAAGCTCCGTTTTTGGTAAGCCCTGATTCTGACCCGGCTAGATCAGTGACTTCACCCCACCCCCCATGAGTTGTCACTCTTGAGAGGTCATGTCCCTAGAGGATCCGTGACCTACTTAAGACCCCAGTCAAGTGGCCTGCAGCAAAGTCCATCACCCCAAGGGACACTCTGAAGAGCATGTGGCTGCTGAGAAAGGAAAGGCCACAGGCAGTGGCTTCTGTCCTGGGGTACCTGGAGGGACTGAGAGGTGTCTGAGACTCGGCGGCGATTAACAACAGGCTGAGATGCTCAGCATTCCTTAACCATCGTCACCAAACTTGTGGGAGGTTCCGGCTACTGTAGAAGATCCCTTTCCCAGTGAGGGACCCTCTCGGTAAAAGCTCTTTCAACATTTTAGCATCAAAGAGGGGCCTGCCCTTGCTAAGGCTGGGACCCTAACACACAGGCTTGGTGTCCCATAGTCCTAGGTCTCAATTCCAAAACAATCACTGAGGACTGTGTGACCTGAGACAAGTCACTTCCCCTCTCTGAGCCTCATTTCCTTGCTGGAAAAACAAGGGTACACCATAGAGATTTCTCTTCTCTTCTTCTTCTTCTTTATGATCCTGGGGGTTAAACCCAAGGGTGCTCTACCTCTGAGCTACACCCCGCCCCTTTATTTTACTTTTTGAGACAGGGTCTTGCTAAGCTTCTGAGGCCAGCCTCAAACTTGCCGCCCTCCTGCTTCAGCTGCCCCGGTGTCTGGATTGCAGGCCTGTGCCACCACATCCAACCCCATGGGGTCTTCTGGGATCCCCTGGCTCAACAGTCCACACTCCTGGGAGAGTGTGAGAGCTTTGGGTCCCAGGACGTGGTGGAAGCACCTTGGAGAAGGGCTCACCCTCTGGGTGGAGGGCGGCTGCTCCTGGTCCCTCCTGGCGGAGGGGAAAGGCAGGGAATGCCGCGGGGCCTGGGCTTGGTCGTGGACGTTTCCGTGTTTGCTGAGACAAGGGAGGAGAGGGCTTGGTTGGCTTGAGGTCTGGGGCCTGCTTGTCCCTGCAGGCGGGGCCTCCCCGCTGGGGACCTGGCCCCCTCTGCTGCCAAGACCAAACCACAGCGGCCAGTAGCGACAGCAGCTTCCGTTCTGAGCGCTGACCTTGTGCCAGGCGCTGCACTAAGCATTTTGCTTGCACTGCCTCTTGTCCTCCTCTCTGCCACCCGGGTGGCAGTTATTGTCCCCAGGTGTGGAATTCAGGGGTCATGGGGTTCTCTCGAAGCCCATGGCTCATGGGTGACTGGCGTGCGCCTAAGCGCTACCCGTTAGGCTTCACTGCCACCCTCTGGCTGAGCCCCTCTGGGGGGCTTCTTTGGGGTATGAGAGAACGTGGCTCCGATTTGGGCTCCAGCACATGGACGTGGGCACGGACCTGGACCCACATACTGAGGACCACACAGGGACGCACACATGTGTCCCCACAGCAGGCTGTCGTGGGGTCTGGGAAGCAGGCTTCGGGTACAGATCGCTGACCCCTGCACCCGGCCTAGTCCAAACAGGAAATGCCTCTCTCCCCCAACACAGCAGCCTGGCCGCGGCCTCCTTCCCTAGTGACTCCCTCCGTCCTGTCTCCTCCCACCCTGTCCCACTGGACACCTCCCCGGTGGGGGTGCCCTGGATGGCCAGTGCTGCTCACCCCCAGCTCCTGTGCCCAGGTGACCCCTACCTACACCTGCCCAGTCTAGAGGTGAGCCGCAGCCCAGGGGGCCGAGAAATGCCCAGAGTCCCTGGCCGCAGCCCCGGGGGCCCAGGCCTGATGGCTGGGGCGGCCCTGGACACCCTGGACGCCCCAGCAGCCTTCAGAGGCTCCTCAGACCAAGGCAGGGCCTCCCTGCCCCTGCCTCCAGGTTAGGGAACAGCGGCTGCTCTCCGGGCCTTGGATCAGGGGTTGGCCCTGCTGCCCCTCCACTCAGAGCAGGAGACACCCGCTGGGGCAGGGCCGCGGGGGGGACGGGGGCCTGCAGCTGCCTGGCAGCATTATTTCTGCTCCGTGGCTCTGCCCTGCTCACCCAGCTCCCTCGGTCCCTGCAGCTCGGAAGGGGGCTGGAAGGGAGCGAGGGGAGGAAGGAAGCTGTCGGAAAGCTGTAAATTAGGGCTCGCAGGGCCTCCCCGCCCCCCTCAGGAATTCCTGGGAGGACAGTTGTGAGTCTTTGGGGTGGTGGTGGGGTCAGGCACAATCAAACGTGGCAGGACAGGGTGCCTAGGTGTGGAATTAGGTGGCCTGGATGTTTGTGTCATCTAGAGAGAGTCCTTTTTCTCTGAGCCTCAGTTTCCCCATCTGGATAATGCTAAGAGGACTTGATGATTTTTTGTGGGGGGTACTGGGTATTAACTCGGGGGCACTTGACCCCTGAGCCGCATCCCCAGACCTGTTTTTTATTTTTTTTTTTTAAAGACAGGGTCTTGCTGAGTTACTTAGGGACTCACCATTGCTGAGGCTGGCTTTGAACTCGAAATCCTCCTGCCTCAGCCTCCCAAGCTGCTGGGATGACAGGCGTGAGCTACCTTGCCTGGCTACTAGGACTTGGGGACTTTAATATGACTCTGCTCTCTTGCCTGTGAAGGGATGAGAAAAGAGAGGTCTTGTTAGCAATGTTTGTTCCCACTTCTCTTCCTTGGGTACTTTCTCCCAAATCCTTCCCTCTGATCTCTATCCCCCGGCACCCCTGCACCACCAGGCATCTCTGGGGTCCTTTATTCTGCTTCTCTTTCTATAACTTTCCTGAAAAAATGAACTAGTGAGGTCTCTGGCAGCATCCATCTATCGAGGGTGTACAGGGAGGAGCTGTTGGTTCATTCATACTAAAGTGTGAATGACGGATATGTTGGGTGTTGTTTATAGTCGGGAGGAGGGGTGATAACAGAGATTCCTCCCCCTTGAAACCCTACATTGCTGGTGGTACACTTTTAGTCTGGTGTGTGTGGGGTGACCATCTCCCAGACTCAGTGAATTGAAGGCCATTGCCCACTGGATGTGTCTGGAGTGGGGGACCACGAGTTCCTGAGATCAGATGGACCTGGAAGGGGGGTGGAGAGACAGAGACGGAAGAAGAGACGCAGAAAGAGGGGTCCTTTGGGGAGAGGACCCCAGTGTTGATCTTTTGTTCCCCTGAGAACCGGGGAAGAAGGGCAGGACCAGGGTGCCCGCCAAGCACCATCGACACACGACGCAGGCTCGGGCCTCGCCGGGATCCCCAGCATGCCCCCCAAGGTGGGGAACCTGTCCTTCCTCCACCTCCTTCTCTGCCCGGCACTGGCTGCTCTCCGGGCCCTGGGCTGCCTGAAGCTGGTGTCACTCATGCCTGGACAGCCCTGGGAGGCAGAAGTCGTGGTTCCAGGAGGAGCCCCCAGACAGCTGTCCATCCACGGAAGACCAAGTCCTGGCTGGGAATCCATTTCTCTGCAGCACTCAGTCTGGCTTTCTCTGTGTGCCCTTGTGGGTACAGCGATGCCCCCCTCCTGTCACACCCCTCCAGTGCTGCGGGGTCTTCCCTGCGAGGCAGTCTCCACAGCCTCCCACTCCCTCTGCTGAGAACTGCATATGCCCCCTCTGATCCCAGACCCTGGGGCACCAAACGTCCCCACCCTGTGCTCTCCAGCCAACCACAGGGCTCTCCCGTCCTACCTTCTGCTTGCCAGTGCCTACTCACCCTTCAGTCTCAGCTTAGATTTCTCCCCCTCCCTCCAGGAAAGTGGCCCACATCCCCAAGGCTGGGTCATGTGTCCACTGGGCCTCTCCAGTCACAGCATTCTGTGCTGGAGCTATCTGATGATTTATTCACTTCCCGGAGGGATCATAAATAGGCCTAGATGCCAGATCCTTTTTATAATCTTTCTAAGAATTCTGGGGAAAAAAATATTAATCCAGAATCCATACAAGACACTTTAAGGTCTACAAGAAAAAACTCTGCACAGAAAAAAATTCTAATCTCTGGGGAAATTTGCAACATATGGATCAGATAAAAAGGGTGACTTCTTCCACATGTAAAGAGCTCTTACAAATCAATAGTATTTGATCAGTGACCCAACAGATAAATGGACAAAAGTCATGAACAGACAACTAGCTCAGAATGAAAAGGAAGTCAACTTCACCCAGAAGAAAAGCAACGAAAGTGAAAATCATGAGATAACACCTTGCAAAACTGGTAGTAGGGACTTAAAATTTTTAGCAAGGGTGTGGGGAAATGTCACTTCCATATGGGTTCTCTTTGGAGCATAGTTAGTAATAAGTAATAAAATGTAAGATATATGTGCCCTTTATCTAGCAAGTTCACATCCAGAAAGTTTCTCACAGGTTTATTTACAAAAGGCACAAGGAAATTAACTGCAGCACTATTTATAGCAGCAAAAGACCTGGAAATAACGTAGCTGCCCATCATAGGAGGCCGGAAAATTAAGGTGCATCTATCAGTGGAATACTATATCACTGTTAAAAATAATGATGTACCAATGACATGTAGTATATGCATATATA